TTAAAAAAAAAAAAAAAAAAAAAAAAAAAAAAAATTAAAGGGTAATTTGGAATAGAAAATCATCACTGACACTGAAGTGCTGACTTGATAATGCCATGTCATAGGAGGATTCTTTCAGACACACCCAAAGTAACACATTTCTAGCCTTGTCAAAGCAACTTGTATGCATCAGAAGCCTATTCTAGAAGGGTAAACTGAGTCATCAAGGATATGTCATCTAAAGTAGCACTATGATGTTATTTTTAATCCAGATCATTAATACATCCTTTAGCGGGCACTAAGTAATCAATTTCCACCTTTTAAAATATTTCAGTAAGAACAGAGATGGTAGTCTTCATCCCAGTCCCCTGGAGGCAGGAAGGCAGAGCTCTGTGAGTTCGAGGCCAGTCTGGTCTACAGAGCAAGTTCCAGGACAGCCAGGGCTGTTAACACAGAGAAAACTTGTCTCAAAAAAGCAAAAGAAAAATGAAGAAAGAATAGCACCACCTACACTCCCGTTCAGTGCTGCCACCCCAGTACTCTGGGGTTTGTATACACCCTTCTGGTGCTGGGACCAGACCAAGGTCTTCCCCACACCCCCGTCTCCAAACAGTTGAGCTTTCCCGACTTGAGCGTTCAGCGGTACTGACAAACCTTTTTACTCACCTGTAATGCTTGGTTGGCTTCTTTTATGTCGTCTATTTTAAGTTTGGATCTAAAAACATTACAAAGAGGTCCAAATTTTAGTATGTATGTGAATACAGAACACCTGATATTTCATTGGAAAGGTGGTGATTTTTCATTGCATATCATTTTAGATTGTAACAATCTTCGGCTAAGGGGATATTTTGTATTTTCCTATTTTTCTTCTAAAAATAAAAATCAGTGAGACTTCCACAACTTGATTTTGGTTTTTGTTGAGATAGTCTCACAATCTACAACTAGCTTTCTCAAAAACTTGACTGTGTGAGAGAAAGGGTCTGCATGCACAGACCCTCTGGTTAGATCCCAGTGCCATATAAACCTGGGTGTGGTGGCAGATATCTGCAATCCCAGCACTTGGGAAGTTACACAGCAGAAGATCAAAGTTCAAGGTCAAACTATAGTTGAACTTTAAACATGTTTTAATCTTCTCACCGGAGAAATGATTTATTACATTTGAAGTGGCTGGCCATAGTGGCATACAGTACTTGGCCGACTTGAGCCCAGGAAGTCACCACCAGCCTAGACAATAGAGCAGTACTCTTTCTCAGAAAGAGGAGGGGAAAGAACACAATCCTAAAATAAAACTGAAATGACGGTATTCTCACATCTCCCCTCTCCTTCCATTTCTCTCTCTAAAATATGTGAATGTGTTGCTTGCGTGTATGTCTGTGTACCATGTGCATGCCTGATGCCCAAAGTTCAGAAAGGCATCAGATCCCTAGCAGCTGGAGTTAGAGGTGGTTGTGATCCACCGTGTGGATGCTGGGAATCTGACCTAAGTCCTCCGCAAGAGCAGCAAGTGCTCTTAGCCGCAGAGCCGCCGCTGCAGCCCTGTTTCTTTGTCTTTTAAAGGCATGGTCTCAAGGCTGGTCCCTCCCTCTGTATGTAGCTGAGGGTGACCTTGAGTTCCTGATCTTCCAAGTGCTGAGATTACAGCCACTTTCCTAGTTCTTACAGAATCCCAATAACATCTTACTACAAGATCACATTGTGTGTGTCATGGTGAGATTTGACCCCTAAAGGCATGACAACTACCTCTAATTCACACAAAACTGGCTCTGTCTCAAGACAGTTCTTCTGACAAAATTAAGCTTCTGGATTCTTTTATCACTGAAGAATTAAACAGTAATCTTTGCCTTCACCTGCTGGAACCCTTCAGAACCAAGGTCTACTAAAATGCACAGAACTACTCAATCCCTTTAAGGAATCTAGTCTTTTTAGTGTCCCCACACTTGAGCCTCTGCACAGCTGATCTGGTACACTCGTGTCTTCCATGAATCTGTCGACTTATAGCTGAAGGAAGAAGAGAGGAATTACTCGAAGAGTTTGCTGCCAAGTTCTTGCAGAGCCTGTTCTTGTTCATGGTATATTTTTTTCAACTGCTGATTTTCATCCTGGAGGTTAAGAAACTCCTTCAATAAAAAAACAGAAACATAACTTTAAAAAAACCAAGAAACTCCATATTGCATATATATCATTAATTAGGAAGGTATAAATATCTTTGAGCTTTGTTCTTGGGAGGCTGAGGCATGACCTTGTCCTGATCCTGCTTCCATTTCCAAGTGTTGGGATTACAGGAATATTCCGTCATGCTTTAATGAGGAATTCTCAAATCCCCCTTCCCCCTCAATTTCGCTCTTTTTAAAAAAGATGTGTGTGAATGTATGTATGAATGTATGTATGTATGTGTACCATGTGCATGCCTGATACCCAGAGGTCAGAAGAGGGCATCAGATCCCCTGTAACTGTAAGTTAGAGATGGTTGTGAGCCACCATGTGAATGCTGGGATTGTAGCCTCGACCTCCTGATCCTCCTGTCTCAGCCTACTCAGGGCTGCAATTACAGGTGCACACCACACCCAACTTAATCTTTTTATAAGAAACAATATATCTGAAGCCTTTTCCTGGCTGTTTATATATCAACTATTACCCACACAACCTCCTTATTCATAGTCCTAAGATGACTAAGTGCATCCTGTTTTCTCATATACATGTAAATTGTGTCAAGTATCTTGTTTTAAAAGATGTATGTGTTTGTATATGCAGGTGTATGTGGAGGTTGGAAGACAACCCTGGTTGTACTTAGGACTGCCTACCACCTCCCTTGAGATAGGCAGGGTCTTTCAGTGACCTGGAGCTCATGAATTAGGTTAGACTGGCCGGCCAGTGAGTCCCAAGGATGCCTCCAGAGCTGGGAATACAAGTCCTCCAAGCACTTTACTAACAGCCCCCAAATTGTTTACATAAGCTCACAGGCTGGGAATGGGCTCAGGCCTTAATCCCAGCACTCTAGAGACTGAGACAGAATTGCCATGAGTTCAAGGCCAGCTTTTACTACATAACAAGAGTTCAGAGACAGTCTGGGCTATGTCCAACAACAGAGTTAACATTTGTCAAGATATAAAATTAAAGTTTTACCACTATTTACTTTTTTGAGACTAATGATTTGTTGGGTCTCATTTCTAAGATGAGCTAGGACATCTTTCTCCTTTTGAAGATCTTCTTGCAGAGTCTGCCTCCATTCCTTCTCAATCTTCAAATCGGTTTCCAGCTGCACCCTTGAATGGCAAACACAGAAGCGCAGTGTGCAGTTGGTCATTCTTGAGATAGGGTCTCGTGTAGCCAAGACTAGCCTTTAAAACCAAATGTTCCTGCCTCCACCTCCTAAGTGCCAGGGTTACAACTGTCCTCTACCATACCTGGCCCTCTTATTTTTACTGACTTCTTTAAAGGCTTATTTTTTAATTACAGGTGTTGAGCCACCTGGCATGGGTGCTGAAGCCCCTCTGCAAGACGAGTACCTGCTCTTAGCCACCGAGCCATCTCTGCACTCCCTTTTGTTTTATTTATTTTCTCATATATCTCAGGCTAGCCACAAAACTGCTATGGAGCCAAAAATGACCTTTAATTTCTGATCCCTCTGCCGTCACCTATATAACCAATGTGGGCTATGGAGCAAGACCGTTTCAAAAAAAGGTTCAAAAGAGCTTGTCAAATATGATTCTATTTTAAAAATAAAATTAGGGGGCTGGAGAGATAGCTGAGCAGTTAAGAGCACTGGCTATTCCTCCAGAGGACTGGGGTTCAACTCCTAGCATCCACATGGCAGCTCACTACTGTCTGTAACTCCAAGATCTGTGAACCCTCACACATACAGACTTACATACAGACAAAACATCAATGCACATAAAATAAAAATAAATTATTAAAAATAAAATTAGGTCAGGCATGGTGGCACACATCTTTCATTCTAGCACTTGGGAGGCAAAGGCAGTTGATCTGAGTTCAAGGACAGCCAGAGCTGTATTTTTTGAGACACTGTCTTAGTGGGTAAAGCCTTTCGCTGCCAAGCATGACAACCTGAATTTGATCCCACAGTCCTGCACGGTGAGAAGAAAACTAACCCCCACCAGTTGGCCTCTGACCTCCACATACATACTCTGGTACATGCACGCTAACAGACTAAATAAGTAAATGTAATTTCAATTTTACAATAAAACTTAAACCACGTATTGCCTATATATTTATATGTACAAAGAAAAGTCTTGTTTTGTCCTTATTTTGTGGTGCTGAGGACTGAATGTAGGGTGCTTTATACAAACTAAACAGCACATATTCCACCAATGAGTCTCAATGAAGCCCAGAACAGTTATAGAGTTTAATAGTTATTCTAGAACATGGAAAGCCCCCTGGAGGGGGCTTCAGTCCTTACTCTACAAGCACCGCTAATATTCCTCCCCAGGAACCATGCACTATTTTTGTTATTAAAAGAAAGTGGGCTGGAGATACGCCTTAGCAATAAAGAGACACACAAGTGTAAATAAAAATGAAAAAAATTAAATCTTAGAAAGAAAGCAGGAGCTGAGGATGTGGCTCAGTGGACAGAGTGCTCGTGTAGCATAAACAAACCCTGGGTGTTGATCCCTAGCATCACATAAGCCAGGTGTGGTGGTACTTACCTTTAGTTCCAGTATTTGGAGGTGGAAGCAGGAAGAAGAGAGGGTCAAAGTCACCCTTGCTTATGTAGGGAGTTTTGTAGGCCAGCCTGGGATACATGAGACATTATCTCCAAAAATAAATAGATAAAATAATAGGAGTAACAATTATATTTTCAGAATGTGGTTTTGGAGCTTGAACCCAGGGTCTCAACAATGCTAGCAAAGTACTCTCCCACTGAACTACATCCCTACCCCAACTTTTATATTTATTTTTTTAGTGTAAGGAGCTGGGACATGTGCAGGACTACCATGTGGGTCCTGGAGGTTGAGCTGAGGCTTGGTGGTAACTGCCTTTACCTGCTGAGCCATCACAGACGTCCCCCACACACCTTCTTTACGTGGCTCTACTGGCTGGCAAAGACCATGTCAGTACAAGAGTTTGATTCCAAGATGAAGAGGAAACACTCACAGCTGCTGCTCCTTCTGTGAGATCTGTCTCTGCAGACTGTCGGATCTGCTCAGACACTCTTGGGCATATTTCTCATCCTGGACCTCAGCTTCCATCTGTGCCTTCTCTGCTTGCTGCAATCTGGTGTAAGTCAAATCAACTTTGGGTAAAACTGAGGCTAGAACTAGGGTGTAAAAGGGTGAAGAAGACAAATAAAAGAAAAATGGGGAAATAGAAACATTTCTAAATGAAAACAAAGTCTGGGGAGAACTCACAAACTCAAACGTGAAAGAGCCACACAATGTCTAGAAATTGTTTTGTGATTTCTTTTTCAGTACAAGATATAATATGCCCAGAAAACTATCTTGAAATTTGCTTTATTTCTTGTTCATAATTAATGCAAAGCAATACAGTTTTTACCGTTGGAGAATAATGATTCCAATCTCAAATATGGCTAGGTATGTTATTGCCTTTTTACAAAACCGTGAGTAGCACACGGTCTCTAGTAAGTGCAGGACACACCTGCTGCATGGGATGCTGAGGTGTGTGTGCCAGGAATCAAGTGCACTAACAAAGCTAAGAGCAACAGTTCTCAGTAAGAGCGTCTTCTAGCAGAGCTCTATGCAGCTGCTCCAATAGGCAAAGCTGTATGTATGTGTGTGTGTATATATATATTAAGATTCAAAAAGATTTAATGCTTGTTGGCATCATTCCCTATGGATTTTTTTTTTTTTAGATTTTTATTTTACATTTATGAATGTTTTGCTTGCATGTATGTCTGTGCACCACATACATGCCTGGTGTCCATTGAGGTCAGAAGAAGGTGTCAGGTTCTTTGGAACTGGAGTTATAGACAGTTGTGAGCCACATCATGTAGGTGTTGGGAATTGAACCCAGGTCCTCTATAAGAACCTGAGCTCTTAACTGCTGTGACATCTCTCCAGTGCCCTACTTTTTATTCTTTACCTTGAATATTAAAGATTAGTTTAAAATGTTTGTGGTCATTTTTTTCCCTTTTTTATTTGTTAAGTCACTGTTTCTCCCTAGGCTTAGCTCCACTCCTTGCCTCCCTTGGACATCAAGATTTCTAAGGTTTATAAGAAAATATTTCCAGGATTCAATGGACATTAACTCTTCACAAGAAGTCACAAGAGAAATCTTGCACCTTCCTATCTGCCTCAAAAAAAACCCTAAGTAAGGCAATACACATTGCGAGTATAAAAGCCTCCAAGGAGAGGAGAGGAAGTAAGCTCCCTCCAGATTTACACTGAAATGAAGGGGTTAAGGCGGTAGGGGAGGGCTCAGCTTTCTTCTCTAAGGTAACAGGAAGTAAAGTAAGTGAGGTAGGCCTTGAAGTTGTGCTGTCACAAAAGAGGGCTGGGGGGTGGGGTGTGCAGAAAACTGAGGTGCTGAAGCCCTGGGCAGCGGCCAACCTGGTTCAGAAACTGCTTTGAAAACTTAACTTTAAAAATCAGTAAGGAGCCATTAGGCAGAGTGTGCAAGTGTGTGTGTGTGTGTGTGTGTGTGTGTGTGTGTGTGTGTGTGTGTGTGTGTGTGATTATCTGTGCCAACACAGCCTGAAACCAAAGGTTTCTAGTTTCCATCAAAAAGTTGCTAAAAAGATAAAACCATTTGAAAATCTTGCCCTCCAAGCAGTTGAGGCACAAGGCTGAGGAGTGCGTCTGGGGAGCCCAGTGCCCATGCTGTGTCTCAGAGCAGCCACGAAGGGCTCCTGCAGCCCTGTACAACAGGAGAGAGCTACATTCTTTCCATTTAACACATGGGAAGAGGATGGGCTCTGCGATCTGGGTGGGTTTCAGAAGGAGATGTCTTTGACCAGCTTGTACTGGTCCTGGGGGTCACTGCCAGCACTTTTCACCAATGACACTGCAATTGTCCTAGTCTGAGTTAACAAATCATTGTCACTTCATAATGGAATGGACAGAAATCAAAGACAAGAAACGGTAATAAAGATGTCCAAAATGTAAAAGTGGGGATAAAGAAAACAACAAAAAGAAAGAAGAAAAAAAGAAGAAAGAGGATGTCAATAAAAGAATATTTGTGTCAGTAAAGCATCAATAGTTATGTTTTTCCTAAGTAGATCCAAAGAAAGCAATGGTAGACATGTTGACTCCACATGACAGGGCAATGGATACATTACATTTTCCAACAGTAAAATGAAATGCCAGGATCGAAGAGCTCCATTGACAGAAAACCCTGGCCTGGGGTAGGCTGAGGGCCATAGCTCAGAGCAACTACACTGTCTACTCATGCTGTTTTCAGATAGGAGGTGGCCAATGGTGAAGAATGGACAGTCCCACAGAGCCTGGCCATTTCTTTTTTCCAGGTCTTTGTTTAGTTTTATGTCACAGATATTGTGCCTTTAAAGTTATCTCCAACAGAGCAACTTGAAATGAATCATCACCCTAATAAAGCAACTTGATTCCATGCAACAACCAAAAAAAGCACAAAATCTGGCTCAGCTTAGACACAGGGCCTAGGTGAGGTCTCCTGACAGCCTTCTGTGGCAGATGTCAGGGGTGAGGAAGGGAATGGGGAAGGAGGAGAACTCAGGACTATCATACCTTTGCTCCAGCTGCCTCATGGCCGTGGTGATTTTATTGGTCTTTTCTTCTAGTCGGGCAATTATTTCATTCTTTTCTTTCAAGCTGTCTTCAGAGCCCTATTTATAAAAACACATTTATGGTGGTTTTGATTTTGAAACTCAAACATTAGGCCCAGTATAGTGGTATATGCCTGGAATCCTAACACTCAGAGGTAGGTAGGATTATAGGTTCAATGTCAGCCTCACTACATAGGGCCACCAAGGCCAGCCTGGGCATCCGGCCCTCAAAAATAACCAAATAGTAAGAAGATACAGGATGCACCAGAGAAGGGCTCAGTGAGAAGACAGACTACCTGGCCAGCAGAGTTCCACTCAAGCCCACATGGTAGGAGAGCCTACTCCTGAAAGTGTCCTCTGACTTCCATAGATGAGCCAAGGCGCACACACATTCAATAATAGTAATGCTTTTTAAAATACAACAATAAGGGCTGGAGAGATGGCTCAGCGGTGAAGAGCACTGACTGCTCTTCCAAAGGTTCTGAGTTCAATTCCCAGCACCCACATGGTGGCTCACAACCATCTATAATGAGATCTGGTGCCCTCTTCTGGCCTGCAGGCAGACATGCAGATGGAACACTGTATACATAATAAGTAAGAAAGTAAATAAATAAATAAATCTTAAAAAAATACAACAAAAAACCAACTTGATCATACTTCCATGTTATTGAAAGATAACAGGAGGCAAGCAGTGGTGCTGCACGCCTTTAATTCCAGCACTTTTGGGAGGAAGAGGTAGAGGGATCTTTGTGAGTTCGAGGCCAGCCTGACCTACAGAGTGAGTTCCAGGACAGCCAGGGCAACACAGCGAAACCCTGTCTTGAAAAACAAACAACAAAAACAAAAACATTTGAGAGGTATGAGAGATCACTTAGTGGGTAAAGGTGTTTCCTGCCAATATGGACAACCTAAGTTGGACCCTTGGGATCCACACAATGAAAGAAGATAACCTACTCCACAAGTTTTATTACAATAAATGTAATAAAAGATTACTGAGGGCCAGACACAGTGGCACAGGCCTTTAATCCTGGCACTCTAGAAGCAAAAACAGGCAGTTCACTGTGAGTTCATGGCCAGCATGGCCTACAAAGTGAGTTCCAGACTAGCCAGGGCTACACAGTGAGATCCCATCTCAAACAAAAACAAAATTAGAGCCTGGAGAGATAGCTCTGTTTTAAGAGCCCTTGTTGCTTTGGCAGAGGGCTTCAGCTTGGTTCCCAGCATCAACGTGGTGGCTTACAACCATCTGCAACTCGAGTTCCAGAGGATCCCATGCCCTCTTTGGACCTCCAAGGGCACAAGGTTTGTATGTGATACACATTCATATATGCAAGCAAAACTTTCTTAAAATATTTTTCAAAAATGCTGAAATTGAAAAGCCAATTGGAGGCCGGGTGTTGGTGGCGCACGCCTTTAATCCCAGCACTCGGGAGGCAGAGCCAGGCGGATCTCTGTGAGTTCGAGGCCAGCCTGGGCTACCAAGTGAGCTCCAGGAAAGGCGCAAAGCTACACAGAGAAACAAACCCTGTCTCGAAAAAACCCAAAAAAAAAAAAAAAAAGCCAATTGGAGAAGGGAGAAAAGAAAACAGATTTGAGACTGGAGATACAGCTCGAAGGTGGGTAGGATGCATCGCTATCATGATGAGTCAACAAAGACTCATTAGAGTCATTTTCTGTGAATTTGTAGATGAAATCATGTACAAGTTAGTTTTTGCCTACAGTAACAATTGCAAGTAAGCCAAGTCTTATGTTGGAAAAATACAGGGCCAGTGAGAGGGCTGAGCAGGTACAGGCACTTGCCACCACATCTGATGATTTGAGTCTATCTCCTTAAGCCTCGGGGTGGGAGGAGAGAACCGGCTCCCACACACTCTCGTCCGACCTCCGCATCTGCACCTTGGCCTGAGTGTCTGCTGATAATCGAGCAGGACTGCAAACTCTGTCGAGGTGAGACCCTGTGTTGTGATTTGAACGAGAACATGACCTTCCACAGGTTCAGTGTTTGAACGTTTGGTCCCAATTGGGGGTACCAATTCAGGAGGTCGTGGAATCTTTTTGTTTTTCAAGACAGGGCTTCTTTGAGTAGCCTTGGCTGTTCTAGAACTAGTTCTGTAGACCAAGCTGGCCTTGAACTGGCAGAGGTTTGCCTGCCTCTGCCTCCTGAATTCTAGGGTTAAAGGCGTGTGCCACCATTCTCTGGCTGAGGTTGTGGAAACTTTAGAGGCTGGGCCTCACTGGAAGAAAGGAGTCACTGGGATGGGCCTGGAGGTGTACAGCCTAGCTACCCGTCCCGTCCTGTCTGTGAGCAAGCAGCTTCAGTAGGTAGGGCTGCAAGCTGCTCCCACCGCTGCCCTCCCCAGCCTAAGTGACTGTCCCTCAAACTGTAAGCCAAAATTACTCCTTCTTTAAATTACCTCAACCAGGCAAGCACCCTGTCCCAACCATGAGAAGACAAATATACCATCTCAAAAGAAAAAAGATCCAGAAATGGTGGTGCACACTTTTAATCCCAGCACTTGGGAGGCAGAGGCAGGTGGATCTCTGTGAGTCTGAAGCCAGCCTGGGCTACACAGTGAGTTCCAGGATGGCCAGGATTACACAGAGAAACCCTGTCTCAAAAAGACAAAGAGGGGCTGGAGAGATGGCACAGAGGTTAAGAGCACCGACTGCTCTTCCAAAGGTCCCGAGTTCAATTCCCAGCACCAACATGATGGCTCACAACCATCTGTAATGAGATCTGGTGCCCTCTTCTGTGTACTAAATAAATAAATAAACAAACAAACATAAATAAATGAAAAGACAAAGAATGAAACTGGGGTGGAAATCAATGGCCCAGTGGTATAGCATTTGTCCAGCACGCAGGAAGCCTGGGCCTGGACTCCTAGCAATACCAAGAATGGAAGAGCACTCTGTACCTGCAGCTTTTGGTACATCTCGATGTTGATTGCTTTGACCTCTTCCAGCTGTTGCCGAAGGCCTATGAGAGTGTCTTGTTTCTCATGAATATCCTTCTCCAGCAATTTCATAGCAAGCTCAATCTCATGCTTCATGCCAACTTGTACTGACAGCTCATTCTCCACATCCTGAAATTTCACAATGTCTTTCATGAACAGGTTATCAAAATCAGATGTGCAACCATTAACAATACTGCAAACAATGTCCCACTCATCTGCTCCTCTTAAATCTATCATTGAACAATCAACCTGCCTGGTGTGGTGGTTCACATGTGCAGTCCTAGCACTGAAGTGAATGAGGCAGGAGGATTGCTTTGAGTTCAAAGCCAGCCTGGGCTACACAGTGAGATTCTACTTCAAAAGAAGGTCTGGGCATGCTGGTATATACCTTTGATCCCAGGACTCCTCAGGAGGCAGAGGTAGGAGGATCTCTGAGTTTGAAGCCAGGCTGGTCTACACAGAGTTCCAGGCTAGCCGGAGTTACATAGTGAGATCTTGTTTGTCCCAATGTGCTTTCTGTTGCTGTGATAAAACATGAAACCAAAGCAACTCTGCAGGGAAGGGTTTATTTGGCTTACAGGTTACAGTCTATCACAAGTGAAGACAGGAACCTGGAGGCAGAGACCATAGGGCAGTGGTTCTCAACTTGTGGGTCATGACCACCAAGAGACCATCGGAAAACACAGATATTTACACTATAATTCCTAACAGTTATGAAGGAGCAACGAAAATAATTTTATGGTTGTGGGGGTCACAACATGAGGAACTGTATTGAAGAGTTGCAGCATTAGCAAGGTTGAGAACCACTGCCATAGAGAAATGCTGCTTACTGGCTTGCTCCCTATGGCTTATTCAGACTACTTTCTTATTTTACAGCCCAGGGTTACCTGCCTGAAATGGCACTGCCCACACTGGGTTGGACCCTCACATATTAATCATTAATCAAAAAAATGTCCCACAGACTTGTTTACATGTCAATCGGATGGAGGTATTTTTTCAGTTAAGATTCTCTTCCCAGGTAACTCAAGTCCATGTCAAGTTAACAAAAACTAAGCAGCACACTGCTGTGGAACAATGTTTTTGCACACTGAATATTTGTTACTCTCATTGGTTTAATAAAGGGGTAGTTTGGCCAATAGCTAGACAGGGAGAGGTTAGGTGGAACTTGCAGAAAGAAAAAAAAGAGTGTGGGCAGAGGTTAAGAGCACTGGCTGCTCTTCCAGAGGTCCTGAGTTCAATTCCCAGCAACCACATGGTGGCTCACAACCATCTGTAATGAGATCTGGTGCCCTCTTCTGGCCTGCAGGCAAACATGCAGACAGAACACTGTATGCATAATAAATAAAATAAATCTTTAAAAAAAAAAAAGTATGGGGATGAAGAAGGGGGAGGTCGCCAGCCAGATGTTGAGGAAGCAGGAGATGAACATGCCCTGCTGAAAAAAGGTACTGCAACGTGGTAGAGCGTAAATAAGAGATATGGGCTAATTAAAGTTGTAAGAACTAATTAGTAACAAGCCTAAGCTATTGGCTGGGCATTTGTAATTAATAATAAGTCTCTGTGTGGTTATTTGGGAGCTGGCTGGCGGGACAGAAAAGTCCACCTACAGCACACTATCTCAAAAAAAAATCTAAGACGTTTGCTGAGGTTAAAGACAAACAGGAAGAGTGCACGGAAAGGCAGGCAAGTGTCCTCTTCTTGGCCAGGGCAGTGACTAAGTATCTGCATTATGACTCATTAAGCTACATGTGTGCATTTTTGTGTATGTTCCACGATCTGAAAGCTAACATTTTCAATATGAGGTTGCTAATATTTACATAGTTCACTATGTCCTCTTAAATATTGTTTCTGTGATGGTCTGCATTCACACAACAACCACAGACTGGAAGGCTTTAAAAAGACTAAGAGATGTGTTTTTAAAGCTTAAGAAAATTTAAGAACATTGGGCCTGCAACACGGCTCCATGGGCATCAGTCAGCATTAGACACAGCTTAGGATCGTGTGTGGGTGTCTCTGTGGGGGGATGTCTTGATAACTGATGTAGAAGGTCCCACTGTGGGCAGTACAGTTCTTGAAGCTGTATAAAGCTAGCCCAGCAGGAGCCTGAGGGAGCAGGCAAGCTTCAGGCTCCTGCCTTCTGGGCCTGCCCTGCCTTCTCCAATGAAGGTCTGTGATGAACCCTAGCCTCCCCCATGTGGACTTCAGTGCGTTATCACAGCGACAGAGGACTGGAACAGTGGATAAAGGTGTTTGCCACCAGGCCTGATGACCTGTGGTAGAAGAGCCATGTGGTAGGAAAACTGACTCTGGAAAGTTACCCTCTGACCTCCACACGTGTCATGACATGTGTGCACACATACAAAATAAATGCAAAAAAAAAAAAAAAGTCAGTGTATTAAGGCTGTCAGGTTCTGCTCTATGTCCCGGAAGCTAAGGCTGGAGCATCTGAAGGGTGCTGCTTGAGAGAAGTGACCCCCATGGTTTTGCTAATGTGACTGCAAGGTAAACGACCTGTCGGAGCTGTGACTCGTCTCGAAGCTGCCTCCTTGCATCATTGTACATTTCGTCTAGACCTTGCCGGGAATGCTTATATGTCTGAAGCTCTGTTTCCACATCCACTTTGGTAACCTAGGATGAAGAGGTCACATCGTCACACCATGCTGTCATCACACACACCTAGCCTACAGGACTCAGGACCCCTCCCCCCCAGTCAGCTCTGCGGTCACTGCTCACCTCCAGATGCTGCCGCGTTCTCATTAAGATCAACTCGTTTTCACTACGTAACTGATGGTTTTCTTCTTGGAGCTTAATGATATTATTCTTCGCTATTGCTAACTGCACAGGGTGAAGCACAAACAAAAAGCCATTCTGAGCACCTTTCTGTAGACATGCTACACAGGTTAGGTCTGTGGCTACAAACCAAAGGAGATCAAACCCTAACACCAGTAAGATGCGACTCCCACATTACAGGGGGCGCCATCATAAAAATGTACACTGGGCTGGAGAGACGGCTCAGCAGTCAACAAACAGTGCTTCCTGCTCTTGCAGAGGACCTTAGTCCAGGTCCCAGCACCCACACGGCATGCCACCCACAACCATCTGTCACTCCTGTTCCCAGGGATCCAACACCCTCACACAGATATACATACATGCAAAACACCAGTGCACATAAAATATAAGATGTTAAAACAAGCACACTGTAAAGCCTTGTGGAAAAAGGGTTGTGTTGTTTGAAAATGTGTTAAATGTTCATGGCGACTCAACAGGACACCCATGCAGTGGATGTGACAGGTGACTGGGTTCCAGGAACTGTGGCCACTCATACAGTTAACTCTCAGCATCAGAGCTCCACACCAGGACCCAGGTGGCTTGGCTCTGAGGCCCGGAATGAAAAGAAGCCTGGGCAAGTAAAGTAGAGGCCACCTTCAGGTCATACATTTCTGAACACTCTGGGGAAAGAGCTCGAACTTCATTGTGTATGGAAAGCCAAGAAGAGAGAGACAGGGTCATGAGCAGCTCCAGAATGGTCCCAAGTGGGAGTCCAGCCAGCAATATACAGATGGCATACTTAATTGTTCTTTTGGGTTTTTTGTGAGACGGAGTCTCGTGTAGGCCAGGCTTGCCCAAATTCATTATGTAGCTGAGGCTTGGCTTGAACTCCGTACCCTGCCTCCCATGTGCTGGGATCACAGGGGTACACCACCATGTTTGGCCTCACAGATGCATTCTTTTCTTGGGGGGGTGGGTTTCGAGACAGGGTTTCTCTGTGTAGCCTTGGTTATCCTGGAATTCACTCTGTAGACAGGGCTAGCCTTGAACTCAGATCCCCCTGCTTCTGCCTCCAAATTCGGGGTTAAGGTATGCGCCACCACGCCTGGCTACCGGTGCATTCTTATTTGTTAAGTATTCAATTTATCACGACTCCCTGGTTTGGAAATAAATCAGAACAATTCTAAAAGAAGAATTTTAATTATCATGGAAAAATAGGGTCATGGTGCTAATAACAGGCTTCTGGCATACATCAGAAAATAGGTTTGATAAGAAGAAAAAGTCAAATGTGATGGCCCACACCTTAATCCTAGAATTTAGGAGGCAGAGGCAGATGGATCTCTGTGAACTCGAGGCTAGCCTGGTCTACATAGTGAGACCCTATTTCAAAGATATAAATGATAATCTCAAAAAGTAACTATGGATAGTATTGAAGAGCTGATTTTTTTTTTTTTAAGACCTATTCATTTGTAGTGTATCCCTGCATGAGTGTATGGGTGGAGCCTGGAACGGAAGTTAGTTGTGAGCCATCGTGTGGGTTGGGAACCGAACCTGGGTCCTTTCTAAGAGCATAAATACTCTTTAACTACTGAGCCAATTCCCCAAGCCCAGGATTTTATCTATTTTTATTTTTAAAGGATGAACTGACTCTTCTGCAAAGGGGCACCCAATGGCCACATTCACAGTGTGGGAAGCCATGGCCGAGAGGTTGTACACAGACAGGAGAAGGTGGGGGAGGCAGGCAACAGGGTTCTGCAGCGCTGCTTGTGAGGGGAAATCCTCTGACTAGCCAGACAACGGCAACTAGAAGTCATTCCATGACCTACACACGGGCGGTCCCCACTCTAACGGGACTCACACCTTATGAGTTTAGGAATCTGTGTGACTTTTGTCTCTGGGGCCGACTTCTGGTTACGGACTGTAGCAAAAAACAATACCTCAGAGTCGAACATATAACCTTCAACTGCAAACGTCCCACCGTGATGAAAGTGTGTGTGTGTGTGTGTGTGTGTGTCTGTGTGTGTGTCTGTGTCTGTGTGTGTGTCTGTGTCTGTGTGTGTGTCTGTGTCTGTGTATGTATGTGTCTGTGTGCTCACGTGTGTGTTGTGGGGTGGACGCTGACAGCATTCATGCTTATATAGAAAAGGATCACAAACAACCGAGGACTCCAAAGACGCCCCCATCCACTGCTGGGCTGGGGACGGTACCTCTTCGATGAGCTTCGTGTTGGACTTTTCTAACGAGTCCACTCTTGAATGGAGGCTGCTGACTGTGCTGCTGCAGTTGGCAAAGAGAAAACTTCATTCAGAATCCCACAAGCGCACGCCGGCAAGGACAGCGCACTGACCCAGACTCACGTTCATCGGCCTGTAGCCATGACCCAGAGCAGATCCCTAGATGGGGACAATTTCATTACCCTGGCTAACTTGATCTGAGCTAAGACAGCTATAAGGACCCCAGCAAAAGAATCAACGTTTCTAGACAGCTCCTCTTGGTGCCGGGCTGACTGAGTCCAGGCCTTGTGCAGGTGAAGAGAGATACATCAGCAGCCTTTGAGGCTTTTTGTTTTAGTTTTTGTGTGTGTGTGTGTGTGTGTGTGTGTGTGTGTGTGTGTGTGTTTTGGCGGGTGGGCGGAGGGGGCAGGTTTCGAGACAGGATTTCTCTGTGTAGTTTCGGAGCCTGTCCTGGATCTCGCTCTGTAGCCCAGGCTGGCCTCGAACTCACAGAGATCCGCCTGGCTCTGCCTCCCGAGTGCTGGGACTAAAGGTGTGTGCCACCACCGCCTGGCGGCTTTGGGTTTTTGTTGTTATTGTTGTTCTATTTTAAGATATGACCTTGTTTAGCCCAGGCTGGCCTCACACTGACTTACTAGCAGAACCTCGAACTCATGACCTTCCTTCCTGCTGCTGCTACTTCCCAAGTGCTGGGGTTATTACAGGTGTTGTGACACCACACCCAGCTCTCTGTGGATTACTAATTTCTGCTGTGCATCTAACCAGCCCCACGAGCACCCCTCAAAAACACTTAGAAGGCCAACCTGCAAAGATGCTAACAGAAAGGAAAACGGATTATGCCAGAACCAAAGCTGCCCCGAAGATGAGACTCCGGAGTGTAGACCGGTGCTCGGGTCCTTTACTTACTCCTGAGTGTAGACAGAGAGGTGCTCGGAGCCCTTTACTTACTTGAGTTGTCTATTTAGTTCCTCCACGTAATTCTTTTGGTCTAAGATGGCTGCAATTTGAACATTCCTGTGGTGGGAGGAGAGGAGAGTGTAAAATATATCTGAATCATCTGGAAATGGCCGTCAAAATCAGCGATAAAATGTGGCTTGGCTTTTAAAGCAGACTGTCACACAGCAGGAAACCGGGCACTAGGAACCTGGATTACTTGCTTATGTACCATTGATACACTGGAAACAGACCCAACTCGATAATAAGTCACCACTGTCACAAATTATAGTCATTAGGGTGTCTCTCAACAAGGACGGATCTGACCAAGACTCCTTACTGTGGACCAAAGTCGACCTCGTTTGAAGGACTCTTCCTTATCTGCCCTGTAGAGATTTTAAAGGAAGTAAAAATACAAGCCAGGGCTCCAGGGAGGAAGGCGCAGAAACCACGCTGTGAACAGACAGCACAAGTTCATTTGCAAATAGCTACTGAAAATCTACACCCCCTAGCTGGGGGTGCAGGGTACGGGTCGGGGGTGGGAGTGGGGTAGCGGAAGCCTTAAATCCCAGCACCAGGTAGGCAGGGGCGGGCAGATCTCTGAGTTGGAGGCTAGCCTGGTCTACAGAGTAAGTTCCAGGACAGCCAGGGCTACACAGAGAAACCCTGTCTCCAAACAGACAAACACAAAACAAACAAACAAACAAACGCACGCACGCACGCACGCACGCACGCACGCACACATGCACCTACCCTAAAACTGGGAAATCCGGAGGAAAACATACCTTTCTTTGTTCCCCGTCTCTTCTTCATTTTTTAAATACATTGAGAAATCAATCACTCCAACCTGAAATTAACAAATCGAGTCTTAATGAAAGAGAAGAAGTCCTCCTCAGCAGCTCTGGTGTGATGGCGGTCTTGTCAATTCCCGCTGGCCTGAGAGATGACAGGCCAGGGGAGCGTGCTGTGGGCGTGTCTGGGAGGGCGTTTCCAGGGTTGCTGACACCCTGACAGCACTGACCTAGCACAGTGGCTTATCCCTTCTTTGAATTAAAACCTGAAGACTACAGGGACACTCAGAACTGCGGCAGGTGGAGCCTGGCCGGAGCAAGCGGCTGCTGAGGACAAGCCTCTGAGGAGCGCATCTTGGCCTTGGGCCCCGCCTGTTACTCTGCATTCTTTATTTTTTTAATTTTATTTTTATTTTTTACTATGTACAATGTTCTGTCTGCATGTACACCCGCAGGCCAGAAGAGGGCACCAGATCTCATTACAGATGGTTGTGAGCCACCATGTGGTTGCTGGGACTTGAACTCAGGACCTCTGGAAGAGCAGCCAATGCTCTTAACCTCTGAGCCATCTCTCCAGCCCTGCTCTGCAATCTTGTCACCATTTCCGCCATAGTGCCGCCTCCACACCACAGGCCCACAGCAACGGAGCAAGCCAGTCAGAAACCTCGCAGACCAACATCAGCCCTTCCCCTCCTCTGTGATGATGTGAGTGACAAGTGTCCCTCACAGGCCCATGTATTTTAATACTTGGTCCCCAACTGGTGTCACTGTTTGGGGAGGTCATAGGGCCTTTGGGTGGCACAGCCTTACTGAAAGAAACGCGACCATGGGTAAGCTTTCAGGGTTTACAGCCACACCCCATTTCCTGTTCTCCCCCTCTGCTTGATCAGCCGGCTTCCTGTCCCTGAGGGCATGCCATGTCTTCCCCACCCATGAAGGACTCTAGCCCTCTGCAACCATAAGCTACAACAGACTCTTTTTCTAGAAGTCACTTTGGGCATGATATTTCATCATAACCACAGAAAATTAACTAATACTTAAGCTGTTCTCTGTGTAGCCCTGACTACCTTAGAACTCACTCTGTAGACCAGGCTGACCAGAGATCCGCCTGCCTCTGCCTCCCAAGTGCTGGGATTAAAGATGTGCGCCACTACTGCTTGGCTTTTTTAATTGTTATTATTTATGTCTTGTTTTGTTTTTTGTTTTTTTAAGGTATGAATGCTCTGCCTGCATGTACACCTGCACACCAGAAGAGGGCGCCAGATCTCATTACAGATGGTTGTGAGCCACCATGTAGTTGTTGGGAATTGAACTCAGGACCTCTGGAAGAGCAGTCGGTGCTCTTAACCACTGAGCCATCTCTCCAGCCCACTCAGCTGTTTCTATCAGGTGTTTGTCTAACCCAATATGCAACTGAATTTTGCTCACTAAGTGTTTAGCAGCACTGTTAGATCTTCGAGCCACTGAGATCCAGGAAGAACTGTGTGTAATGAGAACACTGATTTGGATTATCACTCACCTGGGAGTCTAGGTCCTCTCCCTTCACACACAGATTGGCATCAATCACGTTCAGGCCGACCAGCAGCCCAACAATCACGGCTCCTTCCTCCTCCATCATTAGTGCATGGTACTCATAGAACTCGCTGGGAACATCAGAACAGAGGCCTTCATCACAAACCTAATGCTTAAAGCTTACCCTGACCACCTCGACTCCCGACCCTTCCTTCTTCCACCTTGTAGACACGGAAACAACCTAAGTTCCTCTAAAGTGCATTCGGAACACTTAACTTGTAAAAAGGCTCACCGCCTCCACAGAAAATTAAAAGGACCAAAGGAAATAAAAGAGAAAGATGTTTTGAAGGAAAAACAAAGATAAATCAAAAGAAAAGGGGGTATGCTGGGCATGAAAGCTTATGCCTCAAATCCCCAGTACTAAGGAGGCTGAGGCGGGGATTGCTAAGAGTTCAAGGTCAGCCTGAATCACACAGGAAGTTCCAGGCCAGCTTGGGCAGGAAGTTAGACCATGGCTTTTTAAAAAGGTTATTTTATGGTGATATTTTATTTGTGCTGAAATGTGATTTTATTTGTATGTTAATAAATAAAGTTGCCTGGAGATCAGAGGTAAAAGTGAGCCATTAAGCAGAAGTCTGGCAGTGGTGGCACATGCCCTTAATCTGATCACATGGCAGGCAGAGTCACAGCCAAGCATGGTGACCTGAGTCTTTAATCCCAGTACCAACCACAGTGACGAGGAGGTC